TTACGTACAGTACATGTAGTACATGTATATTATTCACGTGATCTGAAAAAATTTTGGGTGGTGAATTTACCCCGGTATGCAAATAGCAATTCCCTATTTAAATATGCATTTAGTTTTAAAATTCATATATATTAATAGTATAAATCATTTAATAATTAACTTTATATCATTATTAAATATTTATCTCTTTTATAAGTTTTTTATAGCTATGCTTTGATCTATAAAAATATTTAAGTGCAATAGCTTCAACACTAGCATTACCACCTATTAGTATGTATGTCCACATGGCAAAATACATAGTTGCAAATCTTTCTTTTCTATTTTTTTTATAATTTTTAATTCACTACCGTAAATTCTCAGAATAGCGGGCATCTGCACGCTATTTTGACTACCTGCGCGCTATTTCGAGTACACCCATGGGCGTTATTTCGAATATATAGGCTGATTTTCTGAATAGAGATGTTAATAGCCCACAAAGAACTAGTTTGAATTGGGTCTGAGACCAAACTTTTTAGGGCCGGTCTGAAACTAGTTTAGATAAATTTAATAAAAGTGAATCATGAATACTTTTGGCATTTCGCTTTCAAAATCATCTATATCATATGTTAAACTATTGTAACTACTAGGAAATGTAAAGCATTGTGTGTCCAGAGCTACAAAAATTTATTGATCGTTTAGTAATCATTTCTATGATCGACCAATCAGCATCACGGAACCGGACGGACAGAATTCTCACGTGATTGAAATGATCACTTGCTGTCATAAAAACAGATAGTCCTCCACTTTGCTCTGGACAATAAAATTATAATCATGACAAGAAAAGTCTGTTACCAAAACTTTAATAACAGCATCTTCCCCATCTTTAAATTGAGGAACAATCCCAACCAAAGAAACTTTTAAAGGACATTTATTCGACACCAGAACATTGCTAAGAATCTTAAGATGAGTCAACGTTGAAACTGTCATCTACATTAAAAATAATCAAGAATATAATTAAATAAAAATATAAAAATCTCTAATTCTCAAATATATTACTTCACAAAACAACAATATAAACAATCCGTGCCTATTCTCTGAAGTAAATATTTGAAAATTAATACACTCTATCTTACTCTTAACAAAGCTCTTATTAATTACCCTTGGTCTGATATTAATATTATAACACTCAGGTACAATTTTGCCTCCGACAGAAAAATACTCATCTCTTTCAAAAATTGCTTGAGTTACTAAATCTCTTTCCTCCATTTTAATCGGCACAAACAAGACTAATTCAATCTCACAATCTTCTATTCTAACTAGATAGGCACCAATATCCCATTCCACTAAAAACTTCTCCTTTACAGATTCCTTCGTACAACCTTCACTCTTACAATAATATCCGCATTACAAGGCATAATTACTATTACTATAATGTTTATTACAGTATTTGTAATTTGTTATTACTTATGATTTATGAATTTATGAGTTTATGAATAATGTTATATTTATTTAACAATATTCCTTATATAAATCTTTATTACTTACTTATTACTACTTACTTTGCATAAACCCATATATATTTTTTTTTACTCAAAAAAAACCAACTCAAATAAATCTCCACATATAAATTATACCCTCAAATACTTATATAACTACAATATAATAAAAAATTACATGTATTCTAATACTATCTAACCACGATACAAAATTTTCACATTCATACGTATATACTGATACATATATACGTACATATATACGTACAGTACGTACGTTGTAAAAGGCAAAATCGCCCTTTCCAAAAGAAGTTACTGTTGCGGTAATCGGTAGTACGAATTCCCGGAATTCCTGGAATTCCTAGAATTCGGGAAATTCAAAGAATAACGGGAAAAATCAGAATAACGGGAAAAATCAGAATAGCGGGAAAAATTAGAAAAGCTAGAAAAATCAGAATTCGCGTTATTCCTGTATAAGTGAAATTTATTATATAAGTGGAGGTTCTCTCCACTAAAGTAAAATTAACTCAGTGAGTTCCAAACGTATCATAAAATAAAGATAACTTTGGGAGTTAAAAGTTCGAAGTTAAAGAAATCCGAGTACTTAACTTGTGAATAACTTAGAGAGTTCAAAGTTCCAAGTTAAA